TATATATATTATATATATATATATATATATATATATATATATATATATATATATTTAATATGTATATGATAAGAAATATGTATGTATATTTATATAATGAAATTAATGATTAGATGCGAAGTTACGCGAGTACTTCTGCTACTTATTCTTCAACCATCACCCCAGAGACTAACACCGTCTCTCGCCCAAGTCCTCGAAAAGTACGCATGGGCAGAAGAAAATGTGAACAATGGTACTGATCACAAATACACTCTTAATTTTATATATTCCGGATTTTTTGTAAAAAATATATTTGAAGTTTTTACATCGCTTTCTTTTTACTTTTAGATCTCAACATGAGCGAGGATGAATTATTATTGTTGCAATCCCTAGTGTTAGCATGCCAATCTCATGATCATCAAGCAGTGCTGGAGCTCGAGAGCGAACTGCATCCTTATTTTGATACAGAGCAAAAGGAACTGTTACATAAATTGATACAAGTATTATCGACGCAATAAATATACCATAATACTCCAAACTATATGTATAATATTCCTCTCTCGACATTCTCTCGCGATTTCACGGTCGCGCCGTGTGGCCCATCGAAATCGAAAATCGGAACACATTCCTCGAGAGGCGAATGAGGAATACCCTTCGACCGGTTATTCTTTTTTTTTTTTTGTTTCGCACGATTATATTATTAGTCGCCTCGAAACAGGTTCCTACAACCAAAGATTGCGGCAGTTGCTTAATCGAGACGCCGAAGATGAGCTACGCTTTCATTAATTAAGTAACATGTTGTGTTGTAAGCGGCAAACACAGGCACGTCCTGCTTTTCGTCACCTCATTTGCAGCGACAAGAGCGCGGTGTGCAATGTGAAAGGAGGAGGAACTCTTTAGACAAGAATCATAAAATGAGCGGCTGGAGTGGAGCAAGACAAGGGCATAGTGTGCGTGCCGGTATGGTATCGTGAAGGAGGGGATGTCTCGCGCGTCCCACGATATACTAAAGGCCTTCGTTCCCCTACGGCTATGCCAGAATCGCAGTCAGTGTCAGTCATCGCGCGAAAGTGCCTCGGACTTCTTCAGATCAAAATCGATCGCAATCTACTGAATTGTTTGACGCTTAGCCTGGATCAGGGTAACGATCTTTTCACTCTGTTATATGATATCTTTAAGTCTCCCAGCCCTGTAACGAAAATGAAACATGAATCATGAACAATCTCTCGTAATCTGATGAGAAAAATCAATTCCAAGGATACTGATTAATTTCTTTAAAGGTCAAGGTTTGTAGACAGAGACTTTTGCATTCAATCCGTGTTACTTTTACAATATATTCTAAATGAGAGGATAATTAATCAGACGTGAGTAAATTAAGATTGTTTTATCGCTCGGTTTAGTTTCGTTACGATTTTTATCAGAAAACTACTTCTAAATTTTAACCCGAATATTGCAGTCTATAAAGGAAAGAATTTGAGCATACGCGAATTTATCTTGAGTATTTAGAAATATATTTTTAAAAGTTAAATTTCTAGTAGTCATTTCGTATGCAGTATAACTTCACGGGAATGTAAATTTCAAAAAATAAAATTTCTGAATTAGGTATAGATAATTTCTGAACATATTATATTCATTTCTGAACATGATTATATTCGAAAAATATACTCACAATTATATGCAGCTTATAGTGGATTACCATTAGAAGCACATAATTCGAGATATTTAAATTTTTAACTTAGCAAATTAAATTCTAACTTTAGATGTATATTTTTTTATACGCTTACGCGCATCCTTCCTTTTTCATCTCGCCGAGATGCAAGCGTTCCCACTGCAATGATTTACCACGTGTTTCGGCGACCTTGAACTCTCTTTGCTCACTTGAACGAAGGTGAATGCCCTAAGCACCTGTACTCTTCGGTTTGTAAGCGAACGTTTCTCTATCCGACTCGCTTGCACCTAGAATTCGTGTGGAAGTTTATCTAAAAATTTATGTAAAAAATTAATTTACGGGAGACTTATACATACAAAATACTAACAAATAATAATATTCTATATAATTTTAGTAAGATTTATGAAAAATCTCGGCGAATGTCAGTTAAAAAACTGAATTCTTCTTTAATTAATTAGGAAAATGACGGCAGACTGGAGGGCCATTTTTGTAACCGGAGGCGCCGGTTACATCGGCAGTCATTGCATCGTCGAACTCTTAGAGCGCGGATACGATGTGGTGGCTATTGATAACTTTGCAAACAGCGTGACAGAAACTGACGGCGAGTCGGCGGCGCTCAAAAGAGTTGAACAAATAACGGGGAAGAAAGTCACGTTTTACAACTGCGATTTGCTTGACAGAGAGAAGCTTGAGATCATCTTTAATCAGGTACAGCGTTCGCCATTCATTTCGTATTATATACGTTTCATTTATCAGGATTATCGTAAATTAACATAACATAAAATTCAAAGAGTTCAAAATTACTTATTTTTGGCCCCATCAAAAGAGCAATTTGTCACTTTTAGCACAAAATAGATTGCGTAATACATTTCGCGGCTATCAAAGCCGTTGGTGAGTCGATGCAAGTCCCGCTTCATTATTATCGGAACAACATAATAGGAGCTATTAATCTGCTTGAGGTAAGAGGAATGTATTTCGCGTGTAGTCTTCCAATGATTTCTGCAACTTAACATCATCCGATTATTTACAGGTGATGAAAGCGGCCGGCTGCTTTCAGCTTGTATTCAGTAGCTCTTGCACAGTTTACGGCGAGCCTACAGAATTGCCAATCACGGAAGAACATGAAACCGGTAATATCACCAACGTGTACGGTCGGACAAAGTATTTTATTGAAGAGATGCTCAAGGATATATCCAGAGCTGAAAAGGTCTATGTTTATAAAAAATTTCAAATTTTTTACGTGGGATTACTTCAGCTCTCTTCTCTTCTCTTCTCTTCTCTCTCTCTCTCTCTCTCTCTCTCTCTCTCTCTCTCTCTCTCTTCTTTATTCAGCTTTATATGAGTAATTAAAAAATTTTACTTGTACAAAATAATATAAAATCGTAAACTCATTTACTTTTGACAAAGAATATGCAAATGAAATTTTGCATTTCTGCTTTTCTCTTTCAAAAAGAAATTATGTTACTAGTTAAAATATATTTTTTCTTATATTTTTTACTATATTTTACTGAAGATTTTATTTTATTTAACAGAGTTGGAACATAATATCCCTAAGATACTTCAATCCAGTAGGTGCTCATCGATCGGGATTGATCGGGGAGGACCCGACGAAACCGTTCACGAATCTGATGCCGTATATCGCTCAAGTCGCTTTGAGGCATAAGCCGGAGCTGATTATATTTGGTGGTGATTATCCTACGGATGATGGCACAGGTAACAAATAGTATCGAATAATGAATTTTGTATGTCCAAATTACAATCTATTCGCTTTACATTTTTATTACTTTTTTATACTCACATTTTATAGGCGTCCGTGATTACATTCACGTAATGGACTTGGCAGCCGGCCACGTAGCGGCTTTAAACGCTTTGCACAAACAACACCTCAGGCTAAAGATCTATAACTTAGGCACCGGTAAAGGTGTAACTGTTCTAGAATTAATAAAAACATTTGAGAAAGTCACCGGTGCCACTGTGCCGTATATTATAAAGGAGAGAAGAGAGGGCGATATTGTGTCTATGTACGCCAACACCGATTTGGCAAAAAAAGAATTGGGCTGGACGGCAAAATATAATGTCGAGCAAATGTGTAAGTAGAATATCTCGGTTAAGCCGCTGAATAATTTTAGATAATCGTGTCTGACAATGTCAATACAGGTCAAGACTTCTGGAGGTGGCAAAAAATGAATCCATACGGTTATCGAACTTCAGTAAAGAATGGAACTACTGAGCACCTTAATAATACATCGTAACAGTAAAGTTATAAAAAATTTGTATCGAGGAAATCATGCAAATAATTTATAATAAAAGATCGATATGCGCTGTCTTATAAATTTTCAAATTTATGTCTACAAATCCATCTCTTACATTTTACGATTGTTTTTACTTTCATTTTCGCTCTTCATCGCTTTCGGTTTTCTTATTTTCATCTAAAATTTCGTAAAGCGATAAATGTTGGAACTTTAAAATTTCTAGACCCCAACTCGTCCATCCAGGCAATAAATATCTCGCGAAAATTTCGAGGCATTTTGGCTCATCCGGGAGATATCCCTTTATAATTTCTAAAAACGTAAAGATAAAGTCTTTTACCGTAAATATTTTATATATTTTCTGCGTTTACATTTAATATTCACACCTGTGAGAGGTGGTTTGTGTGAATGCACCGCACTAGGTATACTGATCATCAGCTTGCCATCAGGAATATCCACATCATCTTCTTTCAGAGCAGACCCTAATATCAATAATTCATAAGGTTGTTTTCCAGGTGCTGAGTTAAAATTACATATTGTATCACCTGTCTGTGTCACCTAGAGTGGCAATTATTATCTAATGCATATGGCATTGATGAACATTAAGTAAAAGTTGCATCGAGCGGCATTACTTACTTTGATCCAATACCACTTAGCTTTATAAGTAATACCCCAAGACGGAAATATTTCATTAAATATACTATTCAAATGATTAGACGAATTGGTACACCATATAGCTACAATGCCATTTGAACGTAATAGTTTTTTTATTGGTATCTTAACTAATTCCTCATTATACATCATTTTGTAACTGTAAGAATAACAAATATTTCTCTAAATACATTGTGCAACAATACAATGTATATAAATTATAATACATAAAATCAAGAATAAGTTAAATTTATAAATCTACATTCTTATAAGCATTCTAAGATTTTTTTCTGTTTATCAATTTATAATGAATCACATGAGATCACCTGGCCTCGGCACATTTTATCTTTTTTCTTCTAATTGATTTGTTCCACCAAGGTGGATCTAATAATATAAAGTCATATTGATTGCTCAGTTCCATCTTCTTTTCTATATCTCTTACATCATAACAATAGAATGTACATTTTCTTGGGAATACATATTTCTTAGCATGAACTTCAGATATGATAGCATCATCGGTATCATTAGATCCAAAGAGGTTTTCATCTTTGAGAGAATAAGTATCCTTATAAAATTTTCTAGATGCCAAGCGTGCTACTTCATTGTTATCTGACAAATTATTTCCACAAAAAAGCCCTTTGATTCTTGCAGTAGCCATTATTGTACTCAACATTTGTTTCACATGTTCAACCTGTCATGAGATTGAAACAAGACTTTGAGATACTTAAAACAGGCAGAATGCTCATTGATCAATAATCTAAAATATTCTATCTTGTAAACAAGGACTAGATATTATGTTTCCAAACCTACTTCCTCCAAGTCTTTCTGTGGCAATTGCTGCGAACGCTTCCTTTTCTTTCTATTGAATATTATGGTACTATCCTGAGATTCCTGCATAATCTGAGCTATCTGATTTTGCCTCAAATATTGGGAATTGATCTCGAATATCATCTTATTAAAACTTAAACTACAGAATCCATTCTCATTACGGACCTTCTTATATATTTCATTGAGATACTGCAAGTGAGACACAATCCAGCCTTCCTCGCTGGTATAAAGAAGACTCATATCTTGGCCTCAAAGATCAACATCGACGTACACGATTTTCCATGATAAGTTCTTGATACATTCGCATACTAATCCA